TCTTACAGTATTAAAGAAAGAAATAATATGAAAAACCCCAACCAGTGACTCCCCTTTCCCTTTGGATGAATTGCTTGGCTACTGGAAATACTAATTGCCCCCAGCTCCCAGCAGAGGCAATAGCAGATGGTAAATACTGTCCAAAGAGGACAGGACAGAATATTTTAATGTGCTTAATTTCAGATTGGAGAAGTGAGGAAGGCTTGTTTTCCTCCTGGCTTATTTCTATGGTCTTATTATCAAACTCTTATCCATGATTTGGATAAGAAGTATGCCTCCCATGTCCTTCAAGACTCAGAGCTGAGCCAAACAAGACGTCCCAGGAAACAATCAAAACGGCAGCTTGTGAAAACGGGGATTTTAAATCGAGTTTACTTGGCCATATTGCTGCAACACAACACATGTTTTTTGTCCTGCCTCTAGGCTCCAATGCAAGATTTTCTGCTTGTTGCTCACAAACAGAGAGCAACAAACACTAACCCCTAACCCTAACAGTCCTAACCAATAATCCTAACCCTACTGGCTAACCTTAACCCTCACTGTTGTTTACGTGTGTGTGTTGCAGACCCCTGAGTGGCTGGATAGTGACTCCTGTCAAAAATGTGACCAGCCTTTCTTCTGGAACTTCAAGCAAATGTGGGACAGCAAGAAAATAGGCCTCAGGCAGGTTTGTATGTGTCCTTTGGTGTGTTAAGGTGGTGCAATTAGGTTTTTCTCTCATAACAGATTGTGGTAACTTCTTCCCTCCTAAAACTAAGAACTCAATGAACCCTCTGATGAGGCTTGGATTTGTGGCTGGCAGGAACACACTTTTTTTTTCCCCAACCAGTCCCAATAGTAAATGCATGTAATAGGCCTTGGGCTGTGTAGATTGTTTTGGGGCCCTCCATGGCTTTAGCCATGTGGGATTTTACTCACTGTTACTTGAATATGTTCTAGGAAAAAGTTGCAGCTGATTTTCAGAGTTTGTGCTGGAACCAAAGCTGTTTTCAATGAGGTTGAGTAAATACCTGTAACTGCTCAGGCTGTATTGGAAAAGGCTTATTGGTCTGATGGGAACATGCTGCTGCATTTCCCTGCCCAGCAGGAGAGGGCTGCAGATCACAGACTTTTGGGAAAGGAGCATAAAAGTGCTGAGAGGGTTGTTCTCATGGAGCTTGAGAAGTCAGGTGTCTGGGGCAGAGCTGAGTTGCATTGGTTCTTTATGTAGCACTCATCACTGCAGAGCCTGGCTGTCCTGTGGCCAGTGAGGCAGCCTTGCAGTCCTACACATCCAGTTCATAAGGAAAGGTGATGTGAAGAGCACCAATGTGCAAAACCACTAGAGTGCTCTGGGGCTGAAAATGGCCAAAGGAGTTGGCTAGATGGTAAATGTTCATAATTAGAGGCTGGAATAGGACTCCAGAATGACACTACATTAACATAACCCTGTCCTACCTTCACCTGGAGAGGTGTCATATGCTGTTGAGTGGTGGTGTCATTCCCTATGCTCCCAAATTGAGATTCCAGAGGCAGGGATAATTACAGTTCCCAGCCCTGCAGCAGATGCCTGGCTGGCTGGAACACATCTCTGGGATGCATCACATGGCTCTTTGTCCTGTCTTCCTGTCTCTAACTGTGCAAATGAGAAGAGGACTTCCTTCTTCTGCCTTCTACCTTGTTGAAACCCCCCTGGTCATACTCAGTGTAGAAGCCTTGACCCACAGATGCCAAAGGGTGGAGGCAGCGATGGTTTACTGAGTGGTGTATGATGTCACCCTGGAGCTTGGGGGAGAGGTAGAGTCCACCAAGCCTGGGTAGTGCATTTTCTGCTACTTCCCAATGTCCATGCTAATGATCAGCTGCTGCTTGACCCAAGTAGTGGAGTAAGGTGGCAAAAGTAAGATCCCTCTCCTGCCTGTTTATTCTGAAGTCCTTGCTTATTTTCCTTCCTCTTTTCTGGAAGTCATTTTCCTGTTTGCTGCAGCCTTGTCTGGGTTGTGCTGATGCGAGATGGTAGAGCCAGCAGGACCTGAGCAGTGACCTGATCTGGGTTTGTGGCTTAAGATGTCTTTCTGCATGTTGTCTCCCACAGCATCACTGCCGGAAGTGTGGGAAAGCAGTGTGTGGCAAATGCAGCTCCAAGCGCTCCTCCATCCCGCTGATGGGGTTCGAGTTTGAAGTGAGGGTCTGTGACAGCTGTCACGAGTCCATAACAGATGAAGAGTAAGTGTGGACACTGAGCCAGCCTGCACTGGAGAGGGGCAAAACTCCTGCATCTGGGAGGGCCTGGGCAGATGTGAGGTTCCTGGAGGGAGTAGCCTGACATGGTAGCCCCTGGGCTCCTCCAGCAAGTTAAGCCTCTAGAGTGACTATCAAGTCAGAAGGGATAGAGAACCCTCCACCCCTGTTCCTTGCATGCCAGAAAGCTCTCAAAGTGGAGTTTACAGAGTGTTTGCTGAATTAATGGCTTACAGCAGCAGTCAAATACTTATTTCCTCAATAGAGAGCATTTGGGGGGAAAATCCTGCAGTTGCAGTCTTTGAAGATTTTTGGATTTCTTTCTTCAGGCGGGCACCTACAGCTACTTTCCATGACAGCAAGCACAACATTGTTCACGTACACTTCGATGCCACCAGGGGATGGCTGTTGACCTCGGGGACAGACAAGGTTATTAAGGTAGGAGCGAGGAATGTGCTCTAACTTCTGTATGTAATTTCCTCTTCCTCTCCTGTGTGGCTGCAGGTATGTCCTACCTCCTTTCTTCCACCCAGAAACTTCTCACTGATGGATTTCTGCCCAACAAGGACCAAGGAGGTCTTGGTCTATGAAGTTATTGGCTGAAGGGGTTGGAACAAGTGCTCACTGTAGCTTTTCCTCTAGAAAGACCAGCTGTATTTCAACCTGGCTAATCTCAGTTTGTGTGGCTAGATAAAGAAATAGCTAAAATAATGCATAAGTTTGTAACAGCTTGAGTAATTGAAAAACAACTCCAAAACTTAGAATGTGTTATCACCGTGCTGATCATTCAAGTTAGCAGTATAGTGGGAGCTTTCTTCTTTCTTTTAAGGCCAACTATGAACTTGGCTCATATGGGTAAAACACAGTGACATGCAAAATGTCATTTGGTCAACCTCCACCACTCTGACATGAAAGCTGGAAAATAAATCAAACTTCTTCAGACATGTGACATCCACCTCTAACCATGCAGCTCTGCTTAAGCAAAGAACAAAGGTGCAAATTACTTACAGGTGATATTTATACTGCAGTTTATTGTCTTCTACCACTATTCACTGTGTTGTTATATTTTATTGTATTAACAGTTGTGGGATATGACACCAGTAGTGTCTTGATGTTGCATCAGTGGAACTTGGAAGGTGATATTTACAGAAGAAACGGTTTTCCTAACCCTAATCATACTGCAGAAGATAGATAACGCTGGGCACATATGGCAGATGAGAAAGGAACTAATGCGTTTACAATTTTGTCCTCTGCTTGATCAAGGCTGAACATTTGCACGAAGACTCTTTCCACTTATTCTCAAAATATACAAGAAGGTATTTTTTTAACTAATGGTTTGTATGATCTGACTTCGGTTGTCTTGAGTTTGTTTGGAAAAATCTGTGTGCAGTGCAATTCTTAGTTTTTATATTTCACCATGTCAAGGTACTTGCTGCTTTGTACAGAGGGTTCTTGGGTTGTGTCTTACCACATGAGATTTTGGTATCAACAGACTGTATAAGGCAATCGGCTCTCCCCACAGCACCTATTGATTTGGGATATTTCTGCTGACCATGCTCTCTCCAGTGGAGGAACTCCAGGCGCAGCATTGTGTGTTCTCTGGGTGCATCACCAAGGAGCTGATGAACTATTGCAATTCCTAAAAGGGCTCTTCCATCTACTTGTCCTAGTGGGCATCATCCAGAGAGCATTTTATTGGTCTGTATAGCCTTCCTGCCTCTTCCTTTGCTTCACAAGTTGCAAAAGCAAGGGGCAGGTTGTTCAGCAACTAATTTCTACAAAAAACTGAAATAGTTTTCCAGTGCAGAGCATTTCAAGGAGCACACAGACTTGTTTGAGTTTGATGTGGCTGACAGGCTGATTCAAATGAAATTATTAGCAACAGGAACTTTTGGGAGTGTGTGCATGGAGGGGGGCAGATCTAAAACTGGTCTAGGTCTGAAAAGTCTGGTTTACCTCTACCTCTACCTTGCACAGCAACATTTCAGCATTTATACCTGTCTGTGTTGTTGAAGATGAATTTTGTTTTTCCTGTTTTGGTTAATTTCCTGTTCTGGTTAGTCATATTTATTTTTTAAAATGCTGATTGTTTTTACTCATTTCCTCTATAGACCCAAAACTGATATTGCTGAATGACGCCCATCATCCTATTGTCATACTTTACGGTTTCTTTTAAAATAAAAAGTATTTAAAAACCTGGATTGACCAAAATTACCTTTTTAGAAGGACATTGTCAAGATGAATAAACAAAAAAGTACCCTTTTTTCCAAAGGGATCTGCTCTGAAGAGTCAACTCTCTGTTCTGTTAAACCATTTCACTTTTTAGAATGGGATTGCAGATGCACTTCAAAGAAACTGGTATAGCAAATAGAACTGCAGACCAGACCAAGGGCTTTCCTGTATCTCCTGTTTCAGCAGGTCTTGTGGTCTGCAGCTGCTGTGACACAGCACATTGATGCTTCTCAGTCTGTCCCCATTTTGGACTTTACTTTTCCCCTCTAAAGTGGAGAGGCCATGATGTTTACTACTACAGAGCACATTGCTACCTAGAGAAGCCTTGTGTTTTCTCGAGTGAGAATGCCAGAAGAGAGTAAAGTTTCTCCTCTTTTTTGCCCAGCAGCAATTCACTTTTGAGGAAAAAAATGATAACACAATCCATGGCATTAATTCTGCACCAGTGAGCTGCTGCGGTAACGTGTGTATGTCACAGGACTGCTGTGCGTTTTCAGGGAAAATTCTATTTTTAAGCATCCTGTAAGCTGTGATGAAGCATTTTGCAGTCATGTTCTCTGAAGTAATACCACCTTGGCTTTCCTGGTCATACAGCCTGTTGTTGATTCCCCTCTAGGCAGCATATTTTAAAGCATATTTTAAAACATAATTCACACAGCACTAAAAATATTATTTTTCTAGCTTGAATGTTAATTGTTTTCTAAGTCCTCCTACTTTCTCTCCTGGAAGCTAGATGCTTGTTTCCTCTTGGAAGACTTTTCATTACACCTCATGCATGTTTTCTGATGACTGAAGTGTTCTTGGCTGTCAAAGCTATGCAAGATGAGCAAGTCACCTGCCAACATTTCATTCCAGCTGGAGAAGATGTATGAAATTTTGTTGGACTTTGTTCTTCCATATTACCTTGGGCTCAGAGACTTTTGGCCAAAGACCTGACTTGCTTTGCTGTGCAGGGAGTGGTCTGCATGTCATGGTGGCAGAAACATGGGTGCAAAGAAGTGAATTTAAATCACTGTTTAGTGCTCTGTTCCTGAGGAGACAGTGGTCCAACAAACCTGGGACTCCAGCATGGATTGTGCTTACACTGATGAAGTGGTGGAGTCAGCAAGCCAAGGATCTGCCCCTGGGTCAAGACTTTGTCCTGAACATGCAATGTTCAAACAGAGGTGAGGAACTGACTCCAAAGGAGGCTAATTTTGGGAGCAATGTGTGTTTGGACTGTTCTGCAGTAAACTCTTGGCTACTCCCCCATTGTCTTCCAAGGAGTTGTGGTTTCAGTGTTGCTTATGGGTAGATGCTGGTTATACAAATACGTTTAGCAAAATTTTCCTTGCTGTCCTTTCTGACTGAACTACCTGCATGGTTATCTGGGCTTAAGCTGAACATCTCCTTATCTTGCAGTCTCAGGACAAACTGGACTTTCTATATAGAAAATTATATAAGCTGAAAGTCAAGCTGAGGAGGAAAGGGAAGTTTATTCCTTTGTTATGCCCTTAAGAGCTGTAATGTAGAGATGTGAAAGTAAAATAGATGTGTCTAGTTCAGTAATTCCTTTCCCTTCCAAATGAAACAAGAAGCATTTGGCACTGGGAGAGCTAAAACACCACCTTCCTCTTCTGCCTTGTTAGGGTAACAATCCCAGTTTCTTCTGCCTACTAGTTCCGCACAAAAAGGGATCCCTGTTTCCTGGTCCTTTTCTTTCCATTTCACTTGCTGAATCACAAATCTGAGCTATTTTTATGAATTGCATTATTGGAGGATGGGAGGAGGGTGTCTTTTGATACAGGTGTAACTGTGGAGCACCCCACACACACTTGAACGAAGCCAAGTCCCCTTTCCCCAGAGCTGCTGAAGGGCAGTAGCAGGTTTGTCCTGCTGTGACAAGGGGTCTACAAACACTGCTGGCTTCTCTGCTCTTCACATCAGAAAAAGTGATTTTCATTTCTCACTTAGCTGGTGTTTCCTTGGGCGAAGAAGCAGTGTTCTTCGGTGCATCTCCCTGCTATTCTTGGTTTTAAAATGAAGTGTGTGCAGTGCTCAGACTTGTAATGAGGCAGGCTGGTCACGTGCACAGTGCCTGAGCAGCTGGCTTGAGCCACTTGAGTTCCAAGTGGGATGACCTGAGCCCCAAACTGAAGTCTTTTTAAGCTGAAAATACTTAAGTGAAGGGAAGAGAATGTGGGCAACTGCTTGCAATTGATGGTCCTTCTGTCTACAAGGAGACTGACATCATGGTTAGATGTGGCTGAAACAGGGTAGTGCATAGGGCTAAAAGTCAGCCAGTCTAGCAGAGAAGAGTGCTGAAGAGTGAAATTACTGTGCTCAGCTGTTTTAGCATGCTTGTCTACAGCTACTTTTTACAGTGAAGCCCAGGTGCCCTCCCTACTTGGTCCTCCTGAACTTGGGGCCATTACCTGAATGTCACCATGTTCACTCTTAATACATCAGTAGTGATAACTACACTTTGCCTGAGAGGATGGTACGAATATCTCCAGTACTGGGAAAAGGAGGGATGTGTTCCCTCTGAGTGGGGTTGGTTGCTGGTAAGAAGATGGATGACTGGATGCACAAATAGGATTGTGCATGATCCGAAACAGGTGTGTAGGGGTAAAAAAGTTTGCTTTATGCCTGCTGAGGAAATCATTGTTAGAAAGGAACATGCAATTTTTTTTTCCCAGCTGTGTCAGGTTCTGCACTCACCAGTACAAGAGAGAGGTGAAACTACTGGACAGAGTCCAGCAAAGGGCCACTAAGTTGATGAAGGTACTGGGAGAGCTGGGACTGTTCAATCTAGAGAAGAGAAGGCTTGGAGGAATCTCATCAATGTGTATAAATATCTGAAGGGTACAAAGAGGACACTGGCAGGCTCTTTTCACTGGTGCCTTGTGACAGGACCAGAGGCAATGGGCACAAACTGAAACACAGGAGGTTCCCTCTGTACATCAGGAAACACTTTTTCATTGCAAGGGTGACCAAGCACTGGCACAGGCTGGTCAGGGAGGTTGTTCATGGGTTCTCCATCCTTGGAGATACTCAAAAGCCAACTGGACATGATCTTGGGCAACTAGCTCTAGGTGACCCTGCTTGAACAGGAAGGTTGGACCAGATGACCTTTGAAGGTCCTTTCCCATCTCAACCATTTTGTGATTCAAAGTCCACTTAACCTCTGTGTCTACTCTATCAGTTATGGGGGCGGGGGAAAAGAAAACATCTTTCTTTAAATCTGAACTACTAACAAATCGGCAAATATTACCTATGATTGTCCTCCCTGTTTCCAACAAGATTTGAATAACAATGACCAGAATTCTGCTTGCAGCACATAGCAAATAGGCCCACAGTGTGTGTTTTACAGGCTGTCCCCTTTCCAGGTGACCATGTTGAGCACATGGGATGTTTTCAATCCGGATTTAGAAGACTTTTGTTTTAGAAGACTATGTGTAACAATAGCATGCAACAGTAAGAGCAAACTCGATCCCTTTTTCAGGATGCATTGATGTGCTAAGTCTCTTCAGTGATAACCTCTTGTGTAATATTAAGAAAGACAGATTTTTCTCTTCAAAACTGCATCCTTTTAAAATTGGCAGGAAATCTGCTCCTCAGAAGGAAAAAAAGTGGTCCCTAGTTTGACAATAACCTAAAGTTTTGGAATTTGAGATTAAATCTGTGTGGTCACATGTGACTTTTCATTGCATTTTCCCCAGTTGGGGATTTTCCCTTGTGACCAGTTTTTGGCCATCTCTGAAATTTTGTTTGCTGTAGGACACATTGTACTGCTCAGAACAGAAAGAGAGTTCAATTGAAATTGCTGCCTAGTGGGGACATCAAATGTAAAATAAAAAGAAAACAAGAGAGCACAGTCTCCTGGCAAAGTCTTTGCAAAGAAGAGATACCAAAAGAGAATGTTATCAGCATACAAAAAAAGGGGGGAAAAAAGTCAGTAGTATAGAAATGAATATTCATCAGAATTGTACAAAGCTCATCCAGCAGCCCTGGTCAGTATCCAGAAGCCACAAGGAACATAGAGTTGTTCTAGCAGATTGACTCTATGAATAATTGACTTCAATTTCTTGTTCTTTGGTTTAATTGCCAAATAGTATTTATCTACCTCAAGTAGTGCTATGAGAAATGCATTGAATAAGTAAGCACTTCGACATTAAAACAATGGGGAAGAGACACATCACTACTGTGATGGTGCAGAAGAGGTGTCAGGCCTTATGAAGATATAAGTTTTGCCTCTCTCCAGTTACTTGTTCCCTAGACATTAAATAATCCAGATTTATATGTAAGGATTTATCACCTTTGTACTTACATTTTTTAAGAGGTCAGGGCTTCCAACAGATGTTAAAGACCCATTGCTAACACCTCTAATTCATCCTGTCCCAGGAAAATTCCGTGGCCTTGCCATGGCCAAGTAATCAAGAAATTTTCAGGGAAAAAATGAGTACATGAATTTACTTGATACATCTTTGTCATTAGCACAAGTTTGAGGTGTGGTTTATTTTTCCTAAGGCCGAGCATTGCTTCTGACTCTGCTCAGTGAGTTAAGTTCACCATACTGACCAATATCATGTGGGCTTTGTTGTCTTTCAGGTTGGAGGGATTTTATATGAAAAAAATCTTCCTGGCCTTTGTTCAAGTCAGTGTTGTCTAGGAATACTGCTCAGCAATTTGATCGTTTTTTCCACTAATTATATTGTAACACTTTCCAGTTCTGATCCATTATGAAAATAACTGTTTCTAACATCACTGAAAAAATTGTGGTATTTTAACCCCACTAAATTAATTTCTATCAGCTTCTGGCTGTTACTTTTCCTTCTCTGTGTGTGTAATGGGGACTTTGTTTTATTGAGTTTTGACTATACTCATTCCCCTGCTTGTTCTGTGAGTTGTCGTAAAACTGACAACTGTTCTATGGACATGTCCTTTGCCACAACGAATTCTTGCTCCAAGCACCTGGCCATGGGTGA